TAATGGTGAAAATCTGATAGAAGATGCAAACTAGGGATTGCTAATACAGGGTTGAAAGTACTTACCTATTATCTCAGATTCATAATAATCCTGTGTGCCTTCCTGGAAGACAAGACAGGGTGTCTTTATGATTTTAGAGCATGAATTTGGAAAAATGGTAGGTCCATTTGTATGTTAAGTTCATGTCCATCAAAGAGGAATGAAAAATATGTCCTTCCTCCTGTTAGGGGTTATTTGGCTGTGTTGTACCAAGGTCAATTAAAGATTCCTTAGAAATTCTTTTTTTTAAATTCTCTGAGACGGTCTTGCTCTGTCCACCCAGGCTAGGTGTATAGTGCATGATCACAGCTCACTGCAGCCTCAAACTCCCTGGGCTCCAAGCGACCCTCCTGCCTCAGCCTCACAAGTAGCGTGGGACTTACACTACATGTCGTGTCACCACATCAGGGTATTTAAATTTTTTTTTTTTTTTTTTTTTAAAGAGACACAGAGTCTTGCTCTGTCCACCAGGCTGGTGTGCAGTGACACAATCATAGCTCACTGCACCTTGAACTCCTGGCCTCAAGAAGATCTTCCTGTCTCTCAGCCTCAGCTGGGATTACAGGCATCAGCCACTGCACCCAGTGGGTTCATCAGACATTCCAAGTTCAGGGAAGAGGACGATTTTTTTTTTTTTTTTTTTTTTTTTTGAGACGAGTCTCGCGCTGGTCACCAGACTGGAGTGCAGTGGCCGCGATCTCGGCTCACTGCAAGCTCCGCCTCCCAGGTTCACGCCATTCTCCTGGCCCTCAGCCTCCGGTAGCTGGACTACAGGCGCCCGCACATGCCCGGCTAGTTTTTTGTATTTTTAGTAGAGACGGGGGTTTCACCATGTTAGCCAGGTAGGCTCCGATCTCCTGACCTCGTGATCCACCCGCCTCGGCCTCCCAAAGTGCTGGGATTACAGGCTTGAGCCACCGCGCCCGGCCGGAAGAGACGAATTATGAAAAATGTAGTGCTGTGCTTCTTTTGTTTATGTATTTATAGCATTCTGTTTTGAGATCCTACTGTTTGTATTACAACAGCAGTATGAAGAAAGGTGAAAAAGCCTACCTTTCAAGCAAATGAAGAACATTTCACCAAAACACAAAACAAAAACCAAACTTGTACTACATGGTTTTTTTTAATACATAAGATGAGCTTTTGATTAAGATGAAGAAATAAACTCACATGCATTCATTCATCATACCAGCTAAAGATTTTTTCTAGACCAGGGTTCATAGATATATATTCTGTATTAGTGAATAGGCAGTCCATGAGTTCTCCATGGGTAACCCCTAATTTTGTATTTTTATTTTGATGATACTCTAAAAAAGAGTAATAAGTGAATATTCTGGATCATCTAGATGAGCACTTTATAAATGTTTACAATGTAACTGGGGACGTAAAATGACAGTAATTTATTTGTACTAAGGTTAAATGATACCACAATATCATATATATACACAAAAGTTTTTAATTAATTCTGATGGAACAGGGTTTTCAACCGCAGCACTATTAACTGCCATTTTGCCTCTTTGTTTCAAGGGTCTTTCCTGTGCATTGTAAGATGTTACCAGCATCGCTGGCCTCTACCTACTAGATGCCAGTAGTATCACACCCTTATTGGGACAACCAAAAATGTACAGAGACTTTGCCAACTGCCTCCAGAGTCACAAAATCTCCCTAGTTTGAGAGCGAATGCAATAGAGAAAAGTGGTGGGAGAGCTGAGGTAACACAAGGTGTGCAGGAGAATAAACATGTCAAATTCAAATGAACCAAACATGTAACAATTTCTACTACATTCAGGTTGAGGACAGTGTCACTAAAACATTATCATATATCACATTAATGTTGTCAATGTAAATTTTATTACATTGTAAATCTGTTTTGCTTTAGTTTTTTTCCCTTAAAAGGCAAGTTTATACGTTATTCAAATTTGAATTATACTTTTTCCTGGTTTACTTTTTTCTTTATTTTTGAGATGGAGTCTTGCTCTGTCACTTAGGCTGGAGTGCAGTGGCGCCATCTTGGCTCACTACAGCCTCTGCCTCCCGGACTCAAGCAATTCTCCTGCCTCGAGTAGCTGGGACTACAGGCACATGCCACCACACCTGGCTAATTTTTTTGTATCTTTAGTAGAGATGGGGTTTCACCAAGTTGGACAGGCTGGTTTTGAACTCCTGACCTCAACTGATCTGGCCGCCTTGGACTTCCAAAGTGCTGGGATTATAGTGCATGAGCCACCACTCCTGGCCTATTTTTTTCTAGTTAAAACTTTCTTTTTCATTACAAAAATTGGCCAGGCGTGGTGGCGCATGCCTGTAATTCCAGCTTCGCGGGGGACTGAGACAGGAGAATCACTTGAACCTGGGAGGCAGAGGTTGCAGTGAGCCGAGATCGCGCCATTGCACTTCAGCCTGGGCAACAAGAGTGAAACTCCATCTCAAGAAAAACAAACAAAAAAACCCCTTTTTTTTCTCTTTTTTTGAGACGGAGTCTCGCTCTGTCACCCAGGCTGGAGAGCAGTGGCACGATCTCGGCTCACTGTAACCTCTGCCTCCCGGGTTCAAGTGATTCTCTTGCCTCAGCCTCCTGAGTAGCTGGGATTACAGGTGCCCGCCAAGATGCCCTGCTAAGCTTTTTGTATTTTCAGTGGAGACAGGGTTTCGCCATGTTGGCCAGGCTCGTCTTGAACTCCTGACCTCAGGTGAACTCCACCTCAGCTTCCCAAAGTGCTGGGATTACAGGTGCGAGCCACCGCACCTGGCCTTTTTTCTAGTTAAAATAGTGTGTATCCTTTCTTTCTTTCTTTTTTTTTTTTTGAGACAGGGTCCTGCTCTGTCATCCAGGCTGGAGTGCAGTGGCATGATCTTGCTTCACCGCAAAATCCGCCTCCCAGGTTCAGGCAATTCTCGTGCCTCGAACCCCGAAGTAGCTGGGATTACAGGCGTGTACCACCATGTCCGGCTAATTTTTGTAGTTTTAGTAGAGACAGAGTTTTGCTATGTTGGTCAGGCTGGTCTCGAACTGGCCTCATGTGATTCTGTCCACCTCGGCCTCCCAAAGTGCTGGGATTATAGGCGTGAGCCACTGCACCTGGCCTAACCTTTCTAAATGTCCTTTTCTGCCTAAAGTATCTTTTCTGTTAATATATCACAGATATTTCTTGATTGAAAAAATTCTCAAGAGCCCCAAAACTTGGGTATATACTTAGATACTAAATGTCTTAATTAAATAAAAATAAATTGAAAGAGTTTTTTATTTATTTTGTCTTTTTGAGACAAGGTCTTGCTCTGTTGCCCAGTGTGAAGTTCAGTGGCATCATCATGGCTCACTGCAACTTCAAACTCTTGGGCTCAAGCCATTCTAACACCTCAGCCTCCGGAGTAGCTGGGATCACAGACATGTGCCACCACACCCAGCTAATTACATTTTTTGTAATTAGCTTAGATTGGGGGGCGGGTCTTGTACATTACTCAGGGTGGTCTCCAACTCCTGGGCTCAAGTGATCCTCCTGCCCTGGCTTTGCAAAGTGCTGCGATTAGAGGTGTGAACAGCCGTGCCTGGCCTGAAATTTTCAAATGATAAATAGATTGAAAAACTGGAAAAGGTCCTGGATAGAAGTATTCACTGTTGAATTTTTCTTTCCTGAAAAATGAGTCTTTGAAAGAGTAAAAAAGTAACTGCCAGTATAGCTTGTCTATATATATATATGCTCTATAAATTTCTCTTCTTCCAATCAAGCAAAGTTGACAATATATTAAGAGAACATTCACGGCCGGGAGCAGTGGCTCACACCTGTAATCCCACTGCATTCCAGCATGGGTGAAAGAGCAAAACTCCGGCTCAAAAAAAAAAAAAAAAAAAAAAAGAATGTCCAAAGGTGTGTAGTGTGTAGTAAGTTGAAAAGCTGTCTTGAATATAAGTCCATTAGTGTAGAAGAATCTTAAATTGGTTAGGTATGGCTAAATGTGGGAGACTGTTCCAAAAAAATATAATACCACAACCAGCTTACAATTTCTCCCTGTTCTAGAAGAATAAGACTTGGTCAAAGATTGCCTTTTACCTGTGCACTGAAATCTTTTGGTTGGCTGGAAGATGAAAGTTAAAAAAATCTTAGTTCAACAAGTCCAGCTTAAGAGATATCATTCCAGTGTTCATACATTTACAAGTTTAACAAATACAACTATTGTACCCCCCAAAGACCTAGTAAGTTATGTTAAAGTCACCCAAGATCAAACGGCTTGAAATTCTTTAATAAGCCAGAACTGTCCTATAGGTGTAACAATTTATTTTCCCTTTCTAAACTCTCCCAGGGTTTTGCCTTCTTCTGTATACCAGTAACTAGTTAAGTACAATTTTCTCTTCTAAAATGATGAGGTGGCAGCCGGGGGGCGAAGACTGCAAAGAAAGTGTCATTCATTTATCAGCTCTTCAACATGCAGCATCAGAGTTTTTTGTTAAAGTTAAGAGAGCATCTAATTTTATTTTCCTTCTCAAAATTTATCTAACTTCCAAGGTATACTGAATAACAAAATGACTTAATAATAGAAAACAGTAGCCAATAAACATGAACTCTAATGTAGGGAAGTTGAAAATAACACAGTCTGCTGAATAACTCTTCAAAGTTTAACACGTTAGGAAAAGAGAAGAAATGGAAACAAAGCTCCCAGTGACCCTCGGCTGAATTACAAAATTAAATAAAAACTTAGAAATTAATAAAAGGCAAAAACATTATGTAAGATTTACAAAACACAATTCGTCAAATAGTGTATATGTGGGAGTGGTGGGCTGCAGGGGGTGTCTATGCCAGGATTTCTGCCACTGAAAAAATAAAGTGTGGTGGACGACTGCACATAAAGATTGGCAGACACAAGAAATTACAGACACCAAGTTTTTGGGGGTATACTCATAAAACTCAATTGTTGTAACAATAGATAGGTAACTTCTTCTCTGTTTGCAAGTAACTACAACTCACCTGCTTGTGTGCATGATCATAGGAGTTGATATGGTTATCGAATTCCTGATGTTTCTGATATTGCTTATCACAGAGTTCACAGTAAAAGTTGGCTCTGAGGTCTTCCAAGGCTTTGGCAATTGCCTTCTCTTTGTCAACATAATCCTGCAAGAACCATGAAATACAAACAAAAAATGAACTTGATAAAACTTTAAGTGAATGTTATAAAGAAAACAGTCATCTGAGAAGACAAAAAAGAGCTTTTCATAATATTTAGTGGTACCAGTAAAAGCTGGATGAAACACAAGTGGTACTTTGGTGGGTAATTCGTGTGTCATTGTACTAACAATTGTCTTCAAATAAACAAATGTTTAAAAGGACTAATGATGCTCAACTGATAAGTATAATGCAAATATTCCAAAACTCCCAAAAAGTCTGAAATCTGAAATACCTTTGGTCTCAAGCATTTTGGATAAGGGATACAAAACCTGTATTAATATTCTAGTTTTCAGACACTAAGGCAAAAAGCATTACCTGAGTCTGTAGCCAATGATGGAGTTAAATATTCTATGGTCATTCTACATATAAGCTGCACTGCTTGGAAAGCCAACCCACAGATATGTGTTATCTGCTGGTCTTAGCGAGATTTAAAACTGTGGGACTCTTACATGTGAGAGGAGCTTGGAGAAAAACAACAACAACAAAAAACTGTGTGACTGACTAAAAGGCAATCCAATTTGCCTCATCAGTTTCACTTAAAAACTAGACATCAAAAGACATCTCAAAAAGAAAAACAGAGAAAAAAATTAAAAGATACCTCAAAGCAAGTTGAGTATATTCATTTGCTAATGTTGCACAGAAGGATGAGAAAGGGAGAGGAATGCTAAGTGACTACTTGCTTGACTTTTAGAGCAGGGTAGATGCGTTACTTTCAGAATGAGCAACTCCTTCTAGCAGATTGACCTAAAAAAGATAAGTCTTATCTCAAAGACTGTATCTACAGTTTCAAAGCAGCTCTATCATCTCCCACAAGAGCTACTTAATCAGTAAGCAAGAAAAGGTTGTATTTTCTGGAGTGGCAGTACTGAACTAATTTGGATAGACTTATTAAAACTGCAAAGTGAGTATGTATAGCACATTGTTATTTTTGCCCTATCTAATCCTTCACATTAATTTTCTTTGAGAGTTCCGGACAGTTTCATGTTGTCTGGCTGTTAAACAACTTGTGGCTTTTTTGCCAGGCTGGAGTGCAGTGCAGTTCACGGCTCACTGCAGTCTCCACCTACTGGGCTCAAGCAATCTTCCCACCTCAGCCTCCCAAGTATCTAGGCGTTTACCAGCAAACCCAGCTAACTTTTGTATTTTTTGTAGAGATGAGGTCTCACTATGCTGTCAAAGCTGGTCACGAACTCCTGGGCTCAAGTGATCCTCCCACCTTGGCTTCCCAAAGGGCTGACATTACAGGTGTCAGCCACCACACGTGGCTGCAACTTTAAGCAACAAAACTAGAGTTCCTGGTATGAATGTAGCAGTATAAGAAAACAGCTTTGATTTTCTTCTTGGGTATCATAAAAACAAAATTATGATTTAAAAAAACCCAACCAACAGCATTCAGAAGAACTGGGCAATAGGTATGATCTGGAGAATGAAAAACATGCAGAAGGAAAGTTAAGCTCTTTATAGAATCCAAATGAGGGAAATGTAGTAGAAGCCACATAAGGCAAAGTTAAGCAATATCAAAAAGCCAAAGGTGGCAATTTCAGAAAATAGTAAAACATATATCCTGTACATAAAAGGATCCTCTGAAGTGAATATACCTACATCTCTTGCACTCATCAAGAATTTCTGAGATCTGCGAAGAACAAAGGGATGAACTTGGGTTAGCGGGGATGTGGAAACATGCAGTACAAAGAATGCACATAGAGAAAAGCAAAAAGTTCTGCCCAATTGTGGCAGATCTAAGAAAAGGCTGAGGCCGGGTGCGATGGCTCACGCCTGTAATCCCAGCACTTTGGGAGGCCGAGGCAGGTAGATGGCTTGAGCTCAGGAGTTCAAGACTAGCCTGGGCAACATAGTGAAACCCCGGCTCTATCAAAAATACAAAATATTAGCCGAGCATGGTGTCATTTGCCTTTGGTCCCAGCTACTTGAAAGGCTGAGGAGGGAGGATCACTTGAGCCTGGGAAGTGGAGGTTGCAGTCAGCCAAGATTGCGCCACTTCACTCCAACCTAGGTGACAGAGTGAGAACTTGTCTCAAAAAAAAAAAAAAAAAAAAGGCTATCAACACATGATCACTAAAGGAAGATCCACTCAACTACACAGGACAAGAAAGTGTGACAATGAAAATGGTCTCAGAACAGTCAGTGACAATCAATAGTGTAGTAAAGTTATTGAATCTTAAAGACAGACTCCTTTCAGCAGCTATGCAAAAACAATCAAGGAGGGGAAGATCAGGCCAGCCTTTGATCTCTTCAACAACACACACACACACACACACACACACACACACACACACTCTCACACTCACACTCTCTCTCTCAATTCCAGAAGACAGTGGTACAAAATTACTACAAGATATCTAAGGAAATAATTAACTTAGGATTTTACATGTATCTTTCAAATACAGGGGATACACACATGTATATATAGTTATACGTATGTGTACATATATACACACATATACATAAGTTGATAATTATAAGTTGTAATTGCCTAAATTAATATTACTATTCTTATTTTTTTGAGACAGCGTCTTGCTCTATTGGCCAGACTGGAATGCAATTATAGTTCACAGGAGCTTCGATCTCCTGGGCTCAATTAATCCTCCCACTTTGGCCTTCTGAGTTGCTAGGACCATACAGGCATGCCACCGTGCCTGGCTAATATTTGTATTTTTCGTAGAGACAAGGTTTCATCATGGTGCCCAGGCTGGATGTAAATTATTTTTATAGGCTTATGTTTATATAAAATACATATGTATATAAATAATTCAAGAAATACTGTTTGCACAACTACGTTTAAATAAGTTAATAAGGTACAAACTTCAGAAATAATAGGAAAAAACTCAGCAAAAGAACTGGCAGATTGCTTCAAAACCATTTACTCCTATAACTAAGGTTAAAAGAAATAGGGCTACTAAAGTATAGACATATAACTATAGCATATACATATAACTATGTATGTTATATGCTGTCAGAAAATAGAAATGATATGAATAATAAAAAACGGGGTGGGCAAGCAGAAGCAAATAGGAATTTGAGTTTGCTTACTGCTGCAAACTCAAGAGAAGTTAAAAGAACTTTACAAAACATGAAAATTATCAAGTAATAGAAGTATTGTACATAATACATTATATTAAATGGTATGAAGTCACATACTAAGAATGGCCATTTTACTTATTAACATTATATGATAGAGTTTTTAAAATGGAAGAGGAAAGAAGAGAAAACAAGCTAGTTTTTTATTGCTTACAGTATGAAAATAATGGACGCTCAAACATGGATAATTTTATTAAGTTATAAAGGTAACTAGAACAACAAATATAATCCATCCTATATCCATCCATCCATCCATCCATTTATTTCCCACTTTGAGACCACATAATAACTTAAAAAATAAAATAGGCCGGGCGTGGTAGCTCACGTCTGTAATTCCAGCACCTTGGGAGGACAAGGCAGGCAGATCGCCTGAGCTCAAGAGTTTGAAACCAGCCTGGGCAACATGGCGAAACCTCATCTTTATCAAAAATACAAAAAATTAGCTAGGCGTGGTGGTGTAGGCCTGTAGTCCCATTTACTTGGAAGGCTGAGGAAGTCCTTCAAAAAGTACTCGTAGGCCGGGCACGGTGGCTCACTCCTGTAATCCCAGCACTTTGGGAGGCCGAGGCGGGTGGATCACCTGAGGTCAGGAGTTTGAGACCAGCCTGACCAACGTGATGAAACCCTGTCTCTACTAAAAATACAAAAATCAGCCAGGCACGGTGGTGGGCACCTGTAATCCCAGCTACTCGGGAGGTTGAGGCACGAGAATCACTTGAACCTGGGTGGTGGAGGTTGCAATGAGCCGAGTTCGCGCCATTGCACTCTGGCCTGGGCGACACAGCGAGACTCCATCTCAATTGAAAAAAAAAAAAGTACTTGTACTTGTAGAGGCCAGGCATAGTGGCTCACACCTGTAATCCCAGCACTTTGGGAGGTTGACGTGGGTGGACAGCTTGAGCCTAGGAGTTCAAAACCAGCCTGGGCAACATAATGAAACTCTGTCTTTAAAAAATATATAAAAATTAGCTGGGTGTGGTGGCATACACCTGTAGCCCCAGCTGCTTGGGAGGCGGAGGTGGGAGGATCGCTTGAGTCCAGGAGGTCGAGGCTGAAGTAAGCTGTGATCACTGCCACTGCACTCCTAGGTGACACAGTGAGATCCTGTCTCAAATAAACAATACTCACATAATATTTACACAGACAAAAAGTCCATTATAGGCTACAGAAGAAACTATAATTAAAAAGTCAGAAATGAAGAATATGCACAACATATAAACACAGTATAATACAGCTAAGAATTAACAAAAAAATTTAAAAGACCCTTCCATGAATCTGAAACTGCAGAATTTTAAGGGAAACAAGGATGATGACAACATTATATAGAGAGTAAAGTATATTGCTTTAAGAAGTTAAGCCGACGTGTATTCCCTGAACACAGGTTTAACCCCTTACAGCAATGGAAACAAAATAAATAAAAGTCACACTCTGGAGAAACTCTCGTATATACATACACATATACAAGAAAACATTATTCCACTTATATAAAGTTAAAAAACATGTAAAACTAGGCCAGGCGGTGGCTGATGCCTATAATCTCAGCACTCTGGAAGGCCAAGGCGGGTGGATCACCTGAGGTCAGGAGTTTGATACCAGTCTGGCCGACATGGTGAAACCCCGTGTCTACTAAAAATACGGGAAAACAAACAAACAAACAAACAAAAAAACCCAGCTGGGCATGGTGTCACACGTCTGTAATCCCAGCTACTTGGGAGGCTGAGGCACAAGAATTGCTTGAACTCAGGAGGTGAAGGCTGCAGTGAGCTGAGATCGTGCCAGTGCACCCCAGCCTGAGCAACAGAGTAAGACTCTGTCTTAAAAAAAAAAAAAAAAATTAGCTGGAAGTGGGGGCGCATGCCTGTAATCCCAGCTACTTGGGTGGCTGAGGCATGAGAATTGCTTGAACCCGGGAGGCAGAGGTTGCAGTGAGCCGTTGTGCCACTACACTCCAGCCTGGGCGACAGAGCAAGACTGTCTCAAAACCAACCAACCAACCAACCCACCCATCCACTACATAAAACTAAGCAATACATGTTTAGGATACAAAACACATTAAAAAACCATTTTTAAATGCAAGGGAAAATAGAAGAGGAACACTTCCTAATTTATTCTGAGTGTTACTCTGATACAAAGACATTACAAGAAAACTACAGACTAATATCTTTTTTGTGTACAGATGCAAAAATGCTCAACAAAATGCTATCAAACCAAATTCAACAGCATATTAAAAGGCAAAGTGGGATTTATCCCAGGAACTCAATGTTGGTTCAACATACAAAAATCAATCAATGTAATACACCATTACAATGTAATACACCATTATTAATAACAGAATATAAAAGGAAAAAACCCACAAGATTATCTCAATAGATGCAAAATAAGCATTTGACAAAATCCAACACGCTCTTTCATGGTAAAAACACTAAACAAAGTAGGAATTTCTAGAAACGAAGAATTTCCTCAACCTGATAAAAACAAAAAACCCCCAGCTAACATCATAATGGTGAAAGACTGAAAGCTTCTCTATTAAGATCAGAAAGAAGACAGGAATGTTCACTCTTGCATTTCTTTTTTTGAGATGCAGTCTCACTCTGCCTGTCGCCCAGGCTGGAATGCAGTGGTGTGATCTCGGCTCACTGCAACCTCCGCCTCCTGGGTTCAAGTGATTCTCCTGCCTCAGCCTGCTGAGTAGCTTGCATTACAGGTGCGTGACACCACGCCCACCTTCAACTAATATTTATTGAGTACTTATGTGCCACACACTGTGCTGGCTGCAGGATATATATTGGCAGACAAACAGACATACTCTCTCCTCAATGCCCTTTCTGACTAGTACAGTAAGCAGAATATAAATTAGTGAATAAAAATTTATAATTACAAATTGTAAGAGAGGTTGTTGCAAGAGAATAAGGCAGAGTGGTTAATTATTTAAATGAGCTGATTAGCGAAGGTCTATAATGAGGTAATATTTAAGCTAAAACCCAAAGGATAAAATTTAACCAAGTGAAAGATGATGAAACATGGTGTCATGACCATTTTTGTGCCTAGAGAAAGAATGTAGCCAGAAGAAGAGGGCCCAGGTCTGAAGCTGAGGAACTCCAGTATCTGAAGTTCAGGCAGAATAAACAGCAGCCAACAAAGGAATCTACATAGAAGCAGCGAGACAGACAAGAAGTGACTAACCTAGGAAAGTAAAAATTCTTCAAAACCAAGAGTAATGAAAATGTTTTAAAGAAGAAAGAGTGTGCCAGGAGCAGCGGCTCACGCCTTTAATCCCCACACTTTGGGAGGCCAAGGAAGGCAGATCACGTGAGGTGAGGAGTTCAAGACCAGTCTGGCCAACATGGTGAAACCCCATCTCTACTAAAAATTCGAAAAAATTATCGGGCCGTGGTGGCTCATACCTATAGTCCCAGCTACTTGGAGGCTGAGGCACGAGAATCACTTGAATCCGGGAGCAGTGAGCTTAGATCACACCACTGCATGGGCAAGAGTCAGACTCGGTCTTAAAAAATAAATAAATAAATAAATAAATAAATGATTTATTGGATTTAGCAAACAGAAGTGTTTGGTGGCCCTGAATAAAGTGGTTTGGTGAAAACTGCTAAAGTCAGTGTAAATAGGCTGAAGAGTGAATAAAGAGAGATGAAAGGAGAAGAAAAAGGGGAAGGAGAAAGGGGCAGGAAAAGATGAGTTAAGTTATATTATAGTTCTGGATAAAATAAAACATACAAAAATTTAATATATAGCTAAGCTAAGTTCAAAAACAAGAAAGGGGGTCAAGCGCGGTGACTTATGCCTGAAATCCCAGCAAACTGGGAAGCCGTGGCAGGCAGATCACCTGAGGCAAGGAGTTCAAGACTAGCCTGGCCGACATGGTGAAACCCCATTTCTACTAAAAACACAAAAATTAGGCCAGGCGCAGTGGCTCACGCCTATAATCCCAGCACTTTGGGAGGCCGAGGCGGGTGGATCACAAGGTTAGAAGTTCGAGACCAGCCTGACCAACATGGTGAAACCCTGTCTCTACTAAGTGTTGGGGTTACAAGTGTGAGCCATTGTGTCTGGCCTCAAAGGACTTTTAACAGTTTTTACTGCTACCACTACTTGACTACCTACTATGTAACAGGCATTGTGTTTTCAAACACTAACTCGTGTAATCTTCCTAACACACTTTCGAAGTAGGTATTACTATCGCTACAGTTTTTACAGAGCCAGTAAATAGGAATGTAATAGAAATCTGAGATCTACTACTAACTACCACCAAATGTCAAACAAATGCTGTTAGCAACAGTGATAATTTTCAACAAAATTTGAGTTCTTTCTTCTTCAGTGAGCACCTCCCCACCTTCCAATGAATAGCTCTGTTTAAATACCTTGTACTTTTGTCTCAGCTCTTCTGTGTCTTCTTTTTCCACTTCTAGGACACGGCGCCGTTCGGTAGCATCTTCAGCATAATCAAGCTTGACAAAAATAGATATGATTAGACTTAATTCCTAAAGTACCCCCAAGATTAGCTATGAAAAAGTTATTTGTACAACTACAGTATTATCTGAAAACGAAAAAAATTGTATTTTGCTCAGCTACTGCTTGCTTTACTGTCACCCCACAGAGAAAATCACATGCAAAATAGTTTGTTAATCCTGTCATGCTGGTAGTTTCCAAAAGGCACATTTGTTGAAAGGAGACTTCACTTCAATGTTAATTTTCTTTTCTTTCTTTCTTTTTTCTGAGATGGAGTTTCACTCTTGTTGCCCAGGCAACAAGATCTTGGCTCACTGCAACCTCCACCTCGCGAGTTCAAGTGATTCTCCTACCTCAGCCTCCTGAGTAGCTGGGATTACAGGTGCCAGCCACAATGCCCTACTAATTTTTTTGTATTTTCAGTAAAGATGGGATTTCACCACGTTGGCCAGGCTGGTCTCGAACTCCTCACCTGTAGCTGGGATTACGGGCGTAAGCCACCACGCCTGGCGACTCCTAATTCTTTGAAAATTAACATTGAGTTTGGGCACAGTGGCTCACGCCTGTAATCCCAGCACTGTGGGAGGCCGGGGTGGGCAGATCACCTGAGGTCAGGAGTTCAAGACCAGCCTGACCAATATGACAAAACGCTGTTTCTACTAAAATATAAAAATTAGCTGGGTGTGGTGTCATGCGCCTGTAATCCCAGCTACTCAGAAGGCTGAGTCAGGAGAATCCCTTGAACCCGGGAGATGGAGGTTGCAGTGAGCCGAGACTGCGCCATTGCACTCTAGCCTGGGCAACAAGAGCGAAACTCCATCTCAAAAAAAAAAAAAAAGAAGAAGAAGAATTAGGAATCAATGAAGAAAATATTTTAGGCAAAGAAAAGTAGGTATTACAGATGGCAGCTGAACCCAATTCTATAGAAGGCAAAGCTTTTATCACAGCATTTTAAGAGCTGAGCAACACTGCCTGCTGAAGCAAGCACCAAGGTCTGGATCTAAGTCTGATATTGCCTTGCTGTATAACCCTCGGCAAATCACTTAACTTCTTTATGTGCCAGTTAAAACAGGTGCACTATTTATATTCTATTTGTTTCAAAAGCAGCACTAAATGAAAACGTAAAATACATTTTTAGTTGTCCAAAGAAAAATATTAAAACTACATTTCATCTGATAAACGTATTCTTACAGACATCTGAATTTGGAATTGGTATTATTTCAAAATATCCCATAAAACTTATGAGTTAATGAGATCAATTTACCTCCATTTCCATGCGACCCATGCCCATGACATCATACTTGACAACAATTGGAATGGGATCTGTTCTCCCTGTAACAGGAACACATAATCAAGGTAAGGCGCAAAGCCAAGCCAACAGCTCATTTTACACATTGGGTTTTGGGTGGTTAGAGATCTTGCCTTGGAGTGCAGAGACCAGAAAGCTACAGTGAACCAAACACAAGCCATTCTCACAGCTTACACTCAAGACCTTCCTTTCCTAGTTTAAACCCAACTAACCACCTTGGCTGACCTTCCAGTTGGGATTAACTTCAAATTACTGTGGCAAAATTACATTAATAAGTAATGCAAAGCACTTTTAAGCAATGGCACCAGGAGGTTTAAATTTTAAAACTTTAAAAACTCCTTTTAAGATCCCCAAATAACTTCCCATCAAAAATCACTTCACTCTGTCACTGATATCCTCCTACACAACTTTTTAACCTAGTTTAAAAAAAAAAAAAAAAAAAAACTCAACTGGCATGGTTAAATAGAAAAAGTACATTTTCAAACATGATGCAGTAAAACTTTATAATTACAACTCAGTATGTTGAATTTGTTTTCAAAAGATGTTTTACAATTTTTTTTTTATGTTCCTCATAGACAAGGAGATGCTTTACAACTTAACGGGGCTGTGAAAAGTTTAAATAAAAAGAAACAATTAGTTGCCCTTAGAGACAAAGAATAGTTTTCCTTTTAATCTGGTGCTCTAAAGTCCCATTTCCTAGAGTGGATTTAACACTGGCTACGAGGGTAACTGGTAAGCTGTGAAAAGGACTGGTTGCGAAGAAAATTGACTTTAAACTAATTGATCTATGCTGGATAATTTTTTTTAATATATATATATTTAATCCACTCATAACCAGCCAAACAAAGCAAAATGGGGCAGACAAGCACTTTACTACCACAGCTGTTTTACATCACAACTTGCGCTTTTTATTGTGATGTAAGCCCACTGAAAAGAGGACTTACCTTATCCGTTGTACACCTTTAGTGAAAAAACACAATGTTTACTTCCCTCATCATTTCACTCAGGCTGGTGTAAACAATTGTTTTTTTTGGTTGTGTTGTTGTTGTTATACACACACATATATATATATATATTATACCTTTGGGCTAAAAATGGAGTTTTCTTAGGCTAAATCTGAGGTACTACCCTCCCAACCCCCAAAAAAAACTTCTTAAAAAATAAATGCCATGATCATGACTGGTTTTGGTCCTGCAAAATAAAGAAGAAACCATGTTCAAAACGACCACAACCACTTGTATTCGGTGGCTCTATATTTGTGGAATTAATTTTTGCCTTTAAGATGGAATGAAAAACAAATTCATAAGTTTAACTACTTATGTATCCTATTATTGTTTTTAAACAATAAATAGGGAGAATTAGAATTATCACAGCAAAAACAAAAACAACAAAAAAAAACCCAAACTGTTAAAGAACATCTCATGTCAGGAACAACAAAAAAAACTTCTAGAATACAGCGTTCTTTTAGATACAATTAAAAGACTGCCAGTAAAGCAAAATGAAAATGCATTACTACCTTATGCCCAATGGTATAATAAATAAGCAGTGACTGCAATCTTTAGCAAAAGGACCAAATTAAAGACAGGTTATAAAAATGACTTCCTAGGTGCAATATCACTTTCATAACGTCTCAATCAGGGATTTACTGGTAAAAATAAATGGTCCAATGAATGAATTAAAAAGAAATGTCAAAGCAATTTATTTTGGTATTTTTTTTGATCTGTCGGAATTTGTTTTGCAAGAATCAAGAAAGTTTTGGTACAAATTCATTACCTCTGTAAACCCCTGTTTATAAACTCTGCATTAGTACTTTTGCCTTCTAAGGCAGTCAAAGTTTGTTTTAATTTATTTATAAATTGCAGTAGCAAGTGCTAGTGCCCATTACATTGTGGGGAAATCAAGTTTTTGACAGTATTAGAATTTAATGTTTTAACTGATTTTATTGGCAGTTCTAACACAAACAGATACATCCCTTCTTAACATTACCCTTTAATGAACAGGGATCAGACAAGTTGCATAAGGAAAGGAAAGGAAAATGAAAAAGACCAAGCAGAAGGATGAAGGCTACAACAGAGAAAGTAAGCCTAACATATTGGTGCACTGATGACAAAAGGAGTAATTCAGTCTGAAAATAAAAAATTACCACTGCTAAGATTACCATCACCACAACAAGTCCAGGATCATAATGCTGTAAAAAAGAAACACCATTTGTTAGGCAGAAACCATTAGGGTAAGAAACAGGCCTTCTAGCAGGCAGACAGGATGGGGTAAAGTAACAGTTGGGCTTTGACCCTCCCCCAATCTCAGCCAGGGACAGAGGAAGGACATTTTGTGCTACAGCAACTGTTTTCATACTGGTCAGACCAAGGTGTGAGATTTTTGTACTGCTACTTGAGAACATGAACAACACCCTCTTCAATAAGGCAGGAGGTAGGGTATCAGTTTCAAGTAAGAGAACTAGCTCTAGCTTCCAATCTTTCATTTAACTATTCTTTCTGGTAAATTAGTATTCAGGGCCCAAGGTAGGACTTTTAAAAGAAATTACATCTAAGACTCTATCAGATCAACTCACTGGACAGTAATCAAGTCATTTACTTCACCAAAAGAACTCTAGGAGGCTTAGAGTATGGATGAGATGTCCTCAAGACTTCTCTAGAAATATATACATAAAACAATTAAGAGGTCTAGAAAATAATCTTAGATCTTCAGTGCTTGGAGAACTTTGTACATTTGAATTCTGTTATGAATGAATACAACTCTTTAAGTGGCTCTCCTCAGAACTTTGCTTCCTGTTAACCAAGACTTCCCAGGCTGGCCAATATCTTTCTTTCAGCACACAACAAAACCAATCTTTGAAGGAGAGCTCTAGAGAAACTGACATCAAAAGAGCTATCACATTTAAAATTACTCCACTCAGAGTTAACTCACAGAAAATAAACAGTATGACTTTCAAAGCAATCTTGAAGGTGACATTACTGCCTGGGCCAAGTAGTAATTTCTTAACATTATTAAAGAGGCTACAGACCAAGGAAAAATCCCAGTGGGAAAAGACACCAAACACTACATACAGGAAGATGCTGCAGCATTAAAAAACAAAACAAAACACCCCCTCAGTTTATTCAGTTGCTATCAATGATAAATCCTAAAGAACATCACTAAGAATACCTAAATACCAATTTGTAGTGATGACCTCAAAAGGTAGGTAGCAACTGAGTGTCTGCTAATACGTATTCGCTAGAAAACTCAACCTATTTTTTTTTTTTTTTCTGAGATGGAGTTTCGCTCTTGTTGCCCAGGCTGGAGTGCAATGGTGTGATCTCGGCTCACCACAACCTCCACCTCCCCAGTTCAAGCGATTCTCCTGCCTCAGCCTCCCAAGTAGCTGGGACTACAGGCATGCACCACTATGCCTGGCTAATTTTGTATTTTTAGTAAAGACGGGGCTTCTCCATGTTGGTCAGGCTGGTCTCAAATTCCTGACCTCAGGTAATCCGCCCATCTCAGCCTCCCAAAGTGCTGGGATTACAGGCGTGAGCCACCTCGCCCAGCCTCAACTTGTTTTAAAAATAAAATTCAGGTTCCCTACTTCTTGGTTTCTTTTAAAATATGGCAAATATTATTTAAAATATATTAAATTAGTAAGAACATTTTTGTTGCTTGTTTCACTCTAAAGGAAGCAACTTCAACCAGAACACGAAATAATCTCCTTAAAAGAAACTGTCTTCCTCAGGAAGAGATCTATAGACACTTACTGTACTTTGGCCAACTGAGGAAGGGAAAGGAAACACATGCAAAATCAAGAATGTGCCAATATCAATGTATTAATCTGATGGAAAACAACTGATACTCATATTTTCTAAGTCAAAACCTTAAATAATGTTTCATAACCAGAATTACATATTTATTTTCTAGAGACACTGTCGCTCAGGCTGGAGTACAGCAGCACGATCAGCTCACTGCAATCTCCACCTTTCAGGCTCAAGTGATCCTCTTGCCTCAGCCTCCCAAAGCTCTGGGATTACAGGTGTGAGCTGCACATCAGCCTATTGTCTATTTTAAAATGTAGGTTAACTTATGCAATAATAGAAATTCCTAAATGCTCTCATATATATGCAGGTCTTGCTAAAATGTGAAGGCATGATGACACAACTAAAGAGGGAATACAAATACAAAAACCCACTGATTATCATAGTCACCCTGTTATTGAGAACAACCCCTCAGGAATCAGTTTTGATTTTAAAATGGTTAAGGCTACACCAATCTACAAAACTGTCCCAAAGACTTAAACTACAGAGAAATAACTCTTTTAAAAAAATTTTTAAATTTATATATATATATTTTTTAGAGGGAGTCTTGCTGTGTCGCCCAGGCTGGAGTGCAGTGGCACCATCTCGGCTCACTGCAAGCTCCGCCGTCCCGGGTTCCACACCATTCTCCTGGCCTCAGCCCTCCTGAGCTAGCTCGCGACTACAGGCACCTGCCACCCACGCCCGGCCACATTTCTTTTGTATTTTTAGTAGAGTATCCGGGTTTTACCCCGTGTTACCAGCCAGGTGGGTCTCCGATCCTCCTGCCTGTGGTCCTCCTGCCCTCGCCGTCCCAAAGTTGCCTGATTACAGGGTGTGAGCCACTGTGCCCGGTTTGGTTCTTTCTGTTGTTTTTGGCGAAAACACCTCCTTCTTTTTTTTTTTTTTCTTTTTTTTTGAGATTGGTCTCGCTCTGTCCACCAGCGCTGGGAGTGCCAGTGGAGTAATCTCGGTCACTGCAGCTCTGCCTCCCAGGTTCACGCCATTCTCCTGCCCTCAGCCTCAGTACGCTGGAATCTCACAGGCCCCCGCCACATCCCACGCCTGGCTAATTTTTTATATTTTTAGTAGCAAGATGCGGGTTTTTCCTGTGTTAGCCAAGATGGTCTGGATCTCTGACTCTCGTGATCCGCCTGCCTCGGCCCTCCCATGCAGTGCCTGGGATTTACAGGCGTGAGCCCTTCGCGTCGCGACTGGAAACGACTATTTTTTTTTTTTTTTTTTTCTTTTTGAGACGGAGTGTTGCTCTGTCACCCCGGCTGGACTGCAGTGGTGCGATCTTGGCTCACTGCAACCTCCCCCTCCCGGGTTTAAGCAATTGTCCTGCCTCAGCCTCCTGAGTAGCTGGGACTACAGGTGCGCCATCAAGCCCAGCTAATTATTTTGTATTTTTAATAGAGATGGGGTTTCACCATGTTGGCCAGGATGGTCTCGATCTCTTTACCTCATGATCTGCCCACCTCAGCCTCCCAAAGTGCTGGGATTACAGGTGTGAGCCACTGTGCCCGGCCCAGGGAAACACTATTTTTAAAGAGACAAACTCTAGGAATAGAACAACTGGGAAGAATATATTAAAGGACAACCATAATACAGTAATCAGCCATACTTTAGAAAACAGAAGACATATGATTTCCCTGCAGAAATAAATTAGAAAGGAAGAAGCTTCTACAGTGATTAAAACACTGGTTGAACTGTCAACAGATGTTAAGAATACCACAATGTAAGATGTAAGAACACAATGTATCTCTGCTGCTTTTCCCCTTACAGAGATTCAACACAAATATTTACAACAAATACCGCTTTTCCCCTTACAGAGATTCAACACAAATATTTACAACAAATACTGAGTTTCGGCCAGGCTCAGTGGCTCACGCCTGTAATCCCAGCACTGTGGGAGGCTGAGGCGGGCAGATCACTTGAGGTCAGGAGTTCGAGACGAGCCTGGCCAACATGGTGAAACCCCATCTCTACTAAAAACACAAAAATTAGCCAGG